TGTGTGGTGTCTTCTCCATCAATTGAACATTTCTCTAAAGGAGTCATTATTTAAGCTCGATGATGGTACATTGTCAACGACATTGATATCTATGATTTTGCACATATGAGTGTAGCATAAGCTTATTTGCAAGATGAAGTCAACTTGTGCCAAGATATCTACGACTCAATGACACGCTATGTTCAATGTCAAAAGTTGTGTCCATGATCATCATCACCATATCAATGCTCACTATTTTGAAATTGCAATAGGCTATTCGTGACGGGCATTTCAACATGAGATTGACGTCTGGTGGATTCTAAATGCTGTCACAAGAAGCATAACGAGTATCATACATATCACGATGATGTGACTGCAAGATCATTGTCTGACGTTTAGTAAGCAATAAATAAATATCCAACAGTTGATCGTTGAGTTTATGCTCATTATTGGTGCATCTTTCAACTCTAATATTGAAAATCTAGACGAATCCATTCATGTCATGAGCAACAATTGATTGGCTTCCTAAATTGAATTCATAAAGTTCATTGAAGATCTTGGTCATTTTGTTTTGATGATAATCAATAGTCTGATCAAATCGACTCAGCTGTTACTTCTTCATAACATTTCTTCTTTTTGACATGCTCAATGGATTTATGGATTGCGTAGCAACGTAAGATGAATGCGGCTCCAGCAACTTTGTCAATTATACACTTGTGTACTCTTTTGACCTAGTGAGGTTTGAAGATCGGGATTTCAGTTGCCTTATCATTCAACAGAAGTCTTGTCTTGATTGTAGTTGATGACTTCCGATATTGAAAAATTAGGTCACAATAAGTACTTTTGCACCATTTACAAAAATGTTAATAATCATACTTCATTATATTATTAAAAAAAATCATATGGTAGAATGCAAAATGAAACACATACATTAAAAAACATTCTAAAGAATTTCGAGATAATCAGATTTGACATTATGATACATATTTTTGATGTATGATTTATAGAGATTACTTTGAAAATTTCATGAGACATTATATTTGAAATAAAGAATAAAATCATATAAAATTAAATTTTTTTATAGCAGATATATATCAAATTAATTTTATTTTGATATTAGCTCATCTAAATCCATGAAATTTTTTTATGAGAATTTACATATTGTACATTTTCTGATAAAAGTCTTGTTCATATGAAATAGTATCATCTAATATATTCAAGAGAAAACTTTTTTGAGAATGATATTGATTTACAATAATTATTGAGATTATAATAGTTGAAAATAAATGAAGAATACAGAAGATCTAAAAAGTGATTTGAAAACAAAGACAGCTATTTCGAAGAAAGTTGCTAAAAGCTAAAACCATGTCAAATCACTGGGTTAGTCTCCAGTAGGCACCTGGACTGCCATTATGGTTTGACCGTGCGTCCTAGTGCCAAGCTCAAACGTTGGCTTGTCTAAAGCTCTCAATGTGAAAAAATTCTTATTTTTTGCACGTGTCAACTGCACAAGAGTCGTGCAAAGCATTACTGTCGTCTACTGTTCGAGTCGTCTTTATATGACATCACGTTACCAGATGAGCACTTCTTCCTTGCTGATGTCGACGTAAAACTGGTGTCCTGACGTCTTGAAAGAATGTGAAGACGGCTGCCAGCAGAACGTGTCCATGTCTTTGGATCTACTTGCTAGGATGGCCCACGACCTCGGGATCATGTGGCACAAATTCATTGAATTATCAGATGAGTATAGTAGTTGAACATATTGCTAAAGGTGGAAAAAGCATGAAGTTTCAAAACGTTAAGAAGAACTCCTGTAGGCAGTAGCGAATGAACATTTAGCATCTTAAAGTCAGAGTACCAAATAACATCCGACTTGATCCATATGGAGGCAAAATTTACAACATATATAGGACGATTTTATCAGCGTACAAAAAGAAGAGCTTGCGATCACCGAGGAGCCGCTGAATTGTACGTTTGCATCCGGGAGTACCACAAAATCTAGTGCCACAACTACCACCCGGATCCCTCAGGCACATGACCGTTTCGTACGAAGAAACATGTAAGATAAAAACACACCCGAAGACACTTGGCAGCCATCAAACGTTATTTGAAAATGCACATTCAATGACTTCGAATCATAAAGTTTGGCATTGGAAGAAAATCACGAAATATTTACAAAACTTAAACTGACTTCAACTTACAGAAACAGGATGCAGTGTCACAACATGATTTTCTCAGTGACTTTACTATTCCTACCAAAAATACACTCTAGAGGTTTTATTAGTTGTTTATGCTGATGCATTGATTATTACTCTAAATTATGAGAATTTTAATTTTCTTTTAACAGATTCTTGTAGTAAAAGTGTTATTGGCGCGTATTGAATGGTGTCCTTTCTACAGTACTTGTAAGTAAGACCCTGATAATAATTTTCTTGCTCATGCATATTGAGAACATGAAATTGTAGTTGTGATTGATCCAAGACCAGCTCAACTTTCTGATTGGCTTTCAGGAATTCAGAAGATTGTGAACCGGCATCAATTACCATTTACGTATAGGGGCCTCTTGGTACCATTTGCTCACAAATCCTAACCTCGCCCTGTGTGCCCTTAGCCAAGGGTGGAGAAGTTTGGGCTAATCCAATGAAGACATTTATAGCTCAAGTGATTCATGTTTATCATTAGGGGCTCCGATTTGTATGGAAATGGGAATTGAAACCCTTCTTCATCATTCATGCTCGGGCATGGTTATATTAGTCCATCGCCTAAATTAGCTTAATTTAGGCGCTTTGGAGCTAAAAGTTGCATTGAGTGCACTTGAGAGCGAGTGATGGTTCGGAGGTAGAGATAGAGAGTTACCGTCACGCGGTGCTTAAAGTGAATCTCGTGGTCGAGAGCAAATTTAATTTACAAACTTAGTATTACAACTTGGTGAACTTTTAAACTTACAAGTTGATTCACAGTTGAATGGCTAAAATTTCCCACCAATTACAGAGTAGATTCTACGGTTAATTTAGGCGCTAGTGAGAACACCACTTTGTTAATTTAAGCATCTCGGTATATGATCGCCTAAACTAACCATGTCCGTTCATGCTACAAGACTGTGCAAATATAAGTTAAAAATCCACTAAAGGTGTGTGATGTCAAGAAGATTATAACACGAGATTTCTATAGACCACACACTACATTTCTCATGACTGGAAGTCAACAAGTCATCGAACCTCTGATTAGACGTAGGCAACATATTCACTTGTTTAGTAACATGTTACTAGCCATAGAAATAAATAAATATACATATATCAAAATTTTGTTGGTATTACTTATTTAAGAATGACTTATCTCTTGGATTAAAAGTGGACGGTTGTGCGCTAAATTTTATGGGTTACTCAAACAGAAGAAAAATACAATACATTAACGACACGCATGTTTCCAATGACTGACTTAAGTAGTGATTAAGCCGTGGGATTTACCCAAATTCAAGTAGTCGCATGCGAAGGGTTAGGATACATGTTCTCAGTATGTCGGAACTAAAACGCAACACGGATGAGTTTTTGATCTTCAAGAAAGTTTAAGGGCCGAAAGACACGTCGCTGAATTTTTCTCTGATTCTTGGGCTGCATTACTGTACTAGTACTCCAGGTAGTAGTGATACAGATGTGTTCAATTTAGGGTGTTTAAAGTAGACATTGAGTGATTTCTTAGACATCATATGTTCTAACTCATGCAGCAAATTGTGATGACCCGACGCTCATCATATGGCTAATTGCAGTAAGAGAATCCCCCGCAAAGTGTATAATCAAGTAATCCAGTAGAGCATAAAGTCAAATGAAGTTGAAGGTTTTGTTTGACCAAACCCCTTCAAATTTCTCTGACTTTTAAAATGGACAGCTGAATACACCTGATAATTATAGGTTGAATCGCCCAAATGTCTCTAACTGGTATGATTACAATAAAGTCCGAAGGATTATTATAGTTTTTCTATCGAAATGCCGATAGATGTTCCATTCTCAAAGGCTACTGTGCGAAGAGATGAGAGATTTGACTAGATCCAGTGATCACAATTATTGCAAAAACTCTGGTTTCCAATATTTGATAAGGAGTGATAAACTCTCACACTCAACAAAATAAAAACCAAGATTAGAGGTAGAAGTATCTAGGCCACTAGAATATATTTTGTCATCCACAGATAGAGATTGCTGCTTGACTTAAGGCCGCCAGAATGATGTTTCAAAGGAGCCGGCGTGTACGTTATGTGACGCCTGTGTGTAGGATATGTGCAATATAAAACTCTGGCCGTGACTCCTTCAGCAAGGGGTGCTTGCTAATTCGTATCCGTGCATCTGACACGAAAGTCTTATGGAGTCAATGGACGGTGAAAGTACACGCAAAGGCAAAGGGTGGACGAGATGAAGCGCAGGGTACTGAGTGAATCGATTCCTCGCAACTCGCGCCCAATAGCCGACAAACCCGAATTCGGAGCAAAATTAACATTGGAGCATGAATCGGAATCGACATTATCGGGCGACTGCTGCACGGACACAGGTTCTATCCACTCTGCCAGCCATTGGCGAACGCAGTCGATGTCGACCGCGTTCGCCACGTACCAGGAAAAGAGCGCAGTCCGTATTCCCATAGCGCCGAGGCACCGCGTACCACACACAGAGAGAAGGAAGGCGTCACGACGAACATGGCGAGAGTCTAGTCGGCCTGCTCCAGCACGGGGCAGGGCCAGAGAGAGAGCGTCGTGAGCTGAGACCGGGAACTCGTAGAGCGGTAGTAAGTCAGCGAGAGGGGCCACAGCAGCCAGGGGCTGTTGATATATGCGAGCCCTGCTCGGAGCGAGGACGTCCACCTACCTCGGTTACGTCATACGTACCAGTCATGGGCGAATGGCAGCGAGCGGCAGCCGGGATCCTCGCGTGAGCACTGACTGGCTGCGAGGGTGGCCCACCACGGAGCAGGGACCGAGGATGGAGTGATGGAATGTAGCGGCCCGTGGAATGATACAAGGAATTATGGTTCATCGGTCTCGGGGAGACTCTTCGTTCAGAGGAGTTAATGGCGAGGTTCGGACCGAGACCGACAGAGAGAGACGAGAGACGACGGACCGACCGCCCCCGCAGCAACCCCCAGAGGAAGGCTGGAGCGAATTTGCCCTGAGGAGCAAGGCTCAGAGAGTTTCAGCAGAGAGCGGCGAGCGAGCATCATCGTGGACACAATCGGCGCAAGGGAATCTCCTGCGCCTGCGGACAGCCACCCAGCCAGCCAGTCGGGCAGTCAGCTAATCGGAGCCTTTTGATTCGATCGCCTGCCTGCTCTCCGTCTGTGTAAAGTCTCGCGCACGAGCAGAGTTGATTTCAGGTTGCGGAGGTCGGAGCGCTGTGTTGAATTCGCAAATTCATTCTCCGCTGTTGTTCGTTATCGATGCTGGTGGATGAAATCTGCTGATCCTGTGTTTCGTCTGACACTCGAGCCGACACGATTCTCGGACGCCATTCTGCCGACGGTCTGGCCTTTCGGGCCGGATTAGCGACATTTGCCGATCAGACCGTCGGACGGGCGGCGTCGTTGCCAGGCCCATCGTTTGAGCGGGCTGAGCGAGCCATGCAGTTGTCTTCGAGTCGGGATTGAGGGCGAAGGAGAGGAAATTGTTCGAAGAGGAACCGCGTTGCTGGAGGACGGGAGCGACGATGGGGTTGTTATCAGAGGGAGAACGACATGAGAACGAGGTGCCGCTGTTGGAGAATTTGTATCCGGACTGCCCCGGCTGCAAATGTGCCTATTTGTCGGCCAAGGGGGCCGGTCCCCCGGTGAAGGAATTGTTTATGATCACTATGATTGTCATTTGCAATGGTGAGGAAGCCAATCGTCCGAGTTCCTCTGAGACATGTTTGAGGCCCGAATTGTGTTCGTGCTCAGCACATTCGTGTCGCTCACCCTTGCCTCACTGGAATTACGATCGACAACTGGTCTCCTTGCGCGTGCAGTTCAAATATGTTGTTGTTGCTTGAATTCATCTCTATTTGATTTCTCCTCATAGCGTACCGCATCGTGTCTACTTATGGTCGGGGAGCAGGCTCCGTGGTGTTGTCTTTTTTTCTGCATCCGTCAGGGTCGACAGCTATGAGAGTAGCAGCACCAATTGTGTTTATTTCTATTCGCTTATGACCGGACGGACCTTCAGAACAGCCAACAGCAGTTGATATTGTCGCTCTTGCTGTTTTGCAGCTCTGCCAATCTCTTCGCTCTTCCCCTTCCTCTACTTCATGGTGCGTTTTCTTTGTCCACTCCCTTGAATCTGAGCTCCTTGATTTACTGTGAGCGCAGCGGGGCAGACCGATTTCACATGCGTTGGGCAGCGCGATTTAAATTATGTTTACACGAGGACGTAGTGGAAGGGGGCATTGTTCATCTGGGTTACATATGTTGCCTTACAGGACGTAGGCATGCAGCCTTTAGCTTGTGTGTATCGATATAAGATGCCTTGCACCTCAATTATCAATTGAGTTGCGAGTTCAAATCTCTCTCAACTTACATAATGACAGGAAGGACAAGAAGCTTATTTATCTATACGAATCTTATATGAATTGATTAATGAAAAGGAACTTGGTAAGCTATCAATTCGGCGTTCGACCTCGATATTGGGGAGAAAAGACGTCCCCTTCGTCGCATTTCATTTATCTTAGTCCGGTATCCATCACGTTAACTCCCAAGGCGTTTGGGGCTTTTGATACGTAGAACCTTGCTTTTCCCCGCCTTTCGATCAGAGAATTTCTCTACATTGAGGTTCAAGGTGTAGTCAATTACACCGTGAACTTTCTGAACATGATTACCGTACGAGAAACAGGAAGAATCGTATCACAAAGGACGAGTAGTTCCTGGTACACTTTATTCCTCGATTATTGCTTGATGGTTGTAGAAGGCTTCATCCCCAAAAAAATTTACTCACAGAATCGCCCGAAATGAGTATCAAATATGCAGAAGAAGCCAGTAGAAATAGGTTTTTGACTTCAGGGACTAAACAATTCGCAGCAACTTCACCTTTGGAAGTAGTGTCCAGGCGGTTATGGTACTCTGATATATTGTAGTGCTGGATCTTTCCGTAGTGCGCACGGTATTGAAGAGGTCTAAAGTCGAATTTCTTTTGTCCAGGTTGACGACTTCCATATCGCTGATAAGAAGGAGGATATTGGCTATTATGCCGGAGCTGTAGGTGTGTGAACTTTTCTAGTGATATTTGTTCTAGAGAAAGTTTTGTAATGATATTTGTCTCAGCAACTCTGAACTTTATCTGTTTGTCCAAAACCATAACTGAAATTTTGAGTTCATGCCTCCAATTGTGTGCAGGGTCTGTTTTTATGTTCGGTCGGTTCCTGAGCTCAGTGCCATGGGGAATGTTTGCGGATAGATTTGGTCGGCGACCCGTGTTCGCTTTGGGTCTTCTTTCTGTGTGAGTTCTTGACCTGACGCATTTTTTGTTCGTTTATTGGTGATAATGTATATAAACAGCCAAGTTAATGATTATGATGACCTGCAATGTTTTGCAGTATTGTGTTCCAGCTGATCTTCGGGGCAACGAAGAGTTTCTGGGTAGCATTTGCCGCCCGCTTTATGCTGGGACTTTTCAATGGAATGCTTGGGCCTCTGAAGGTGAACACCCGGCAATCTTGAAATCGTAATTCTTGGCAAAATATACCAGTGGCATGTTGGTTCACATCCCATCGTCGACTCTTGTTGATGTTTTGCATGTAATAACGACATATTTGATTATTATGGGTCATGTAGATGGTGGATGTAGAAGGCGTCGTTCATTGAACTCTGTATTATGCTTTTTATGAATTGTCTATGCAGGCTTATGCTTCGGAAGTTTGTAATGAAGAAAATCAAGCATGGGGTTTGTCCACAGTGAGTATGACAATACGTAACAAATGGTTATTTTCTTGTTTTCATTATTCAGTAGAGTAGCTTTTCCAGCATATTTTGCTTATCCAGTCCTACGTCCTGTAGACTCAATATGATTCAGACTTTTGCTTTGCAGCTGTTTATGTCTAGTGTAGGTATGCCTATGTCTACATTTATTTTCTCTCGAGGCAAATTAATTTTCGAAGTTTCAGAAGCAGACGATACACGGCTTCACATGAAACAAATTATCCTGCTATGCTTTAGAAGTGATCACATCCGTGTGGATATAACAATGTTCGAGAAACGTTAAATTCATTTCTTTTAAATTACTGTCCTTGACCACTTGAAACAGGTGAGCACCAGCTGGAGTCTCGGTTTGATCATCGGTCCAGCTATGGGAGGATTTCTGGCTCGTGTACGTATCCAAGTTTCTCATTTCTGGACAAAGTCATGTCCTAAGTAGACGTAAATGTTTATTATGGGTTTAAAATGTACGCTCGGAAATAACACTTGATTGCATGTCTAGTAACCTTAGCTCTCGCTACTTGAAGATGGATTGAGAAGTCTTCTATTGGAAACTCTAAATCTGTTGCAAAGCTTCTATGTTTTTTTAACTCCTTGTGCTTTTATTGCAGCCCGCCATGAATTTCCCAAGCATTTTTGCTCAGGACTCATTCTTTGGTCGGTAAGTAGTACGGCATTTTGAAGCAATATTTTTTATGACCCCGAAGCCAGCCTATTCTCTGAATTACATACTCTGTGTAGATAATGGGAAGTGTAAGTGGCGTTTACTGATACTCTAGCCGGGTCCCTTTATGGAAAGAATTCGTGATTCGCTTCCAGTAGCTTTCAGGAGTAGAGATTACTATGCAAAATTGAACGTGAATTTTGTTTGATACAATGTTCGAAATGTAGTTCGACTGGCGAAGGATCTTGTTAACCGAGGTCGCTTTTTGGTATTATCTTTGGGATCTCGCACAGTTTAATCTCTGGCGACCCAGGCATTCATAAAATCCATGCGGTGTCGTAACAAAATTCGTGTTCTGCGCTAGAATGTTCTGGCCTTCCATGTTCGTATATCGTAGTGTTTTAGGTAGTATTCCACTGAAGGTATGGAGTGGAAGTACTTAAGGCGTTTATTATGAAAGACATGTCATGCTGGTTTCAGCTTGTAACTGATAGCCTCTTTTGTTGGTGGGCCTATGTGACAGATATCCATATTTGTTACCATCCATTATCCAAGCGATTTTTGCCGTAGCTGGGCTGTTCGTCGTCTACTTTATGCCAGTTCGTTCTCGACTCTCTGTTTCGTGTTGACGAGCGATTTGCCCATTCAATCATTTTTTACTTTCTCGATCGAATGAGGGCATTTTGATAGTTGTTTACCGTCAGTAGTTTTCCGTCCACAAACCTAATAAGGTTTTCTCTAATCTTTTCAGGAAACCGTTCACAAACACGACAATAAGCATCTTTCAGACGATGAGCGGTCACTTATCAAAAGTGCAAAAGCTCCTAAAGAGCCTATGTGGAAAAATAAGGCGTTAATGGCTTCTATTGCTGTGTACTGTGTGTGGTGTTTTATGGAGATTTCTTTTTCAGAGGTATATAAATCTTTGAATATTTTGCTGTTATAACTTATGGGTCGACTTCAACGCTGTCGGTTATTATCGGTATAGAGCAATAGGTTGCTTCTTTTAAGCTGGCTTCAGGTGTCTGTCGTTTGTCACTTTATCATATAGCTGATAAGGGATCCTTAAAACAGGTCTTCTCGTTGTGGTGTGTGAGTCCTCGGGAGGTCGATGGTTTAGGCCTACCAACGTCAGATGTTGGAATGGTTCTGGCTGTTTCAGGTATGAGTTGTGTTGAGTCACGAAGTTCAGCGAGAAATACAATATCTAAGTAAGAACTAGTTCCCACTAGTTTGACTAGTATAAAAGTAAAATATATGCTCAAGTCTCCATTAGTCTTAGTCATGTTGGCCTGCTTTATCAGAGGTGAGTTGTGGCAATCTTTAGTCAAAATATCTGCGAATTCTACAACTTTCTATTCTGCTCTTTTCCTTTTTGTTGTCTTCAGCCCTCGACGGGAATACTTATGAATACAGTTTGGTTTCTCAGGAGCCTCAGTATTCGTCTTCAACATGACTGTTTTTCCCATCATTGCAAAGTATCTGGGTCCTATCTTGGTTACGAGGGTTCCAGCGGTAAGCATGCTCCAGGCAACCGTGTGCACCAGTGTTTTTTGTATGTGAGAATGCTTCAGTGTGAAGAGTGAAAGACATTTGATAGAATCTGATGGATGTGGAGAAGATTTTTGATAAAGTCTCTATTGCAATATTTATTGCAGATCATTTGCGCCCCTTTATTGCTTCTTTTTCCGTTCGTCTCATTGCTACACGGAACAACGCAGTGGCTGGTTCTAAATTTCTTGGCTCTCTTGAGGAATGTTTTATCTGTGAGTGCAATTCTTCAACCATGTGCCTTCCCCGATGTTTACCCCCACTCCAATAGTTCTTGAGTTTCTATGGAATCAAGCAGATGGCAGTACAATATGCATGACGTTTGATGAAGAGTCTATTTGTAGGACCCACCCTTCGATAAGGTTCCCTCATAGTTGGCATGGACCAAATTTAAAGTATAAAGCTTCGAAAGGGTCTGCTACTTCGTTATAAGAACGAGATATCCTTGTACTCACGAATTGTTGACTACTGAAATATATGCAGACGGTCGTTGTCACGGGATCTTTCATGTTAACAAACAATTCTGTGGTACTCCCGAAATCTCTAGCCCTGTAGGCTATCGGTTATTTTCCGAATGTGAATTGTCACTTTGTGCACGACAAGAAATTTGTAAACTGTTATTTACATATACAGCAGATGAGCATCTACTGTGAAATAATGATATCTCTGAGATCACGCTGTTTTTTTGGTCCTTTTCCTTTGTAGCCAACGGATCAAAGAGGAGCTGCAAATGGATTATCTCTGAGTTGCGTGTCTCTGTTTCGAACTATTGGACCTGCGGGTGCCGGCGCTATGTAAAGTTTCTCACCTCCTTGATCCCGTGATTGTTCCCTCATGCTTTTGAGGACAAAACACTGCAGTTAGGTGATGAGAGTTAACCCTGTGTCATATTGGATCTCTTTTAGGCGTTGCAGTAGTTATCGATTTGTCGCTCATGATTTCTTCATAAGTAGAACTAAGACTTGCACGTTTCTCTTCTGCAGTTTCGCTTGGGGTCAAAGCCGACACGATGCGAAGTTTCTTCCAGGTGAGTTTGGAAGAGAAGCTAGTCATGGTATATCTAGTCTCATTGTTTGCCAGTCACTTGAGAAATGTTTTTTTCCCAAAATCCCGTATCATATGAAACTTCAGAAAACCCTGAACTTCTGTACTCAAATTTGTCAAACAGAACTGCCAACATAAAGTTTTAATATTTGTTTTTGACTTGCATCAACCTGTTATATTTTCTTTTTATTCTCAGTTGAAGAAGAAATTAGCAGCTGCGTCACAAGAGGACGAGCTGTTCATTATATACTGTTAATTGGTGAATCAGTGCAGATGATCACCATCGTATAACTTTTAATTGTCAACCTGCTTTTTTTCACAATGAAGTGTAGCATCGATTTCTTAGGAAGCTGCACAGATCTATCCATGAGTATAGAACACAGTACTCTCATCTCTTGAGAACTTCCGAAAGAATTTGCCAAATCTTTACGCCTTTCAGTTGATCTGGCACTTCAGACTTCAGCAAACATGACGTCTGTCTATCTTCCAAACTTGAAGCTACACATTTGATTCGCTTTAGTTTCAAAATGATATTCCATTTTTTCTCCTGATTGAGTTCAATTCTTGAGTGTAAATGGAAATTCGTCCTTTAAGGGTCTAGTTAGACATCCAAGTTTTCCAACCTTCATTACGATTCAGAAAATTGAATGTTTTCGGTGGCACATTTGTAGTGGTGTAGTTGATGTGGACTTATTCTACTGATTAAGGAACCAGGATACAAGATACCCTGAAAACTTATTGAACCGCACTGACAAGTTTGATGGTGAGAAATTTTGCAGGAAGTCAGCTCGTATTCGCAGTGATGGAAATATTTGTAATCTTGGCGATATTCACCACATTTCCCCCAATTCTGCCGGTGTCTGCAAACAGACCTTACTATCTTACCCATCCTCAAGAAGAGAAAGAGGATGATGATGAGGCACGTTAGTAACATTGTTTACTCGACGACACATATTTACAAAGGCGCAGCCGAATGATTCTTTCCTTGTTGATCTCTTATCGTCTGTCCAAATCAGGTGATTCTAGAGCTCACCACATTTCTTGAACTGTTTCGAATATTCATAGTTAATTTCAAATAGTTAGAGAAACCCAAGCTCTCAGTTGTTTTTGGCCTGGGTTTAGTGCCTATGTACTCTAGATTTGTTCTAGGTAGATCGAAATTTAGTGCCTTAAGTTAGCTGACCATTTACGAGATGACAGAGCTCACCTAGGTGATCTCCTTTTCTCGACAGTAAGTCTCTGCAGTTAGATTGGAAGTTGTGTAGGAACATTAAGTTTAGATATTTACTGAAAGGTAAGAAAAGAGCTAGGGTGCTGGTTATTTGCCGCAAATTAAAGCGTCAGCCAGCCGTGAGGTATCAAACGAGAAGTGGTTCCATCAGATTGCTGCTCTGTAATCACTTATTTACATCTTAGTTACTGTCTTTGCGTTACATCGGGCAGTGTAAGCCATCGAAGGAATATACTCTTCATATTAATGACAGTTTTGTTCTCCATGGAATGCTGATCTAGCCTTGTTTCAGTGTATGATGGTGAAAGATTCACATTTCCAAACTGTTCCCACCCCAGCCTAATACTGATCAGCTGCTGTCCATGCTGTCCAATGCAACGGCTTGAAATGCACCCTGAAGCTTGAAGGCCGACTGTTGGAAGTCAGCAATACAAGCGTGACTACTTTCCAGGGGAATTATTGGATTCGGTATAATCACTGTGCATGCAACCCGAATTGTAGGTCACTGTCAAAATCGGGAAGGGTTTTTATGTTGTTTGATGCCAAAGAGAACTCAAATTTCATTTATATCTATTTACTCTATTATTCCGTGTCAAATTTTTTTAAGCATGACTTTTTATTTGGAGTCATTGTTTTTCATCAATGTAGCCAATCAACAAGATTTACAAAAGTTTCATGATTACATTGGGTCACGTGTTCATTTTTTAGGCCGATGATAACCATCATGATGAGATAAAGTTCTATTGTCAATGATAAAAAATCACAAAATACTTTAATCACTTGACAGTCAAAGTTTTAATCTTTAAACTAGAAAACGATATGCATAAGTATAGTACAAGGGTTACTTTGGTTCTCATTATTTGTCAGTAGCTTCGACAGTGATGTGACATAGTGGTGTCTCGTATCAACGAATGGCTTGTGTAATATCAGAGTGGGAGTAAGATTTTGCTTTCTCAATATTCTATGCATATTCTCACCTGGATGGTAAATCCTCACTTGTAAGATGTATTACTTTTTGTTGTAACCGTGAAAACACATTGTTGTAACAGATTTCATCCACCAATTCAATATACATGCTTGTAGATATGATGATGGACATATCACGAAGACAATGGTCCCATATACCATCATCAATACTTGACATTCAAATTTGAAGTAGATATTCTAAAGTGATTAGCATTCTTGCAAAGTACGTCGGATCCTGCGACCCTCTAACTTGTTGTATTGGAACAAGCCCAACATCAACCTACAGAGACCAATGTCCACATCTTTAGGCAACGATCCTTCGTCCAAGTTGGAGTATCAATGGTGAGGCATGGATATTTCAAACTTCATTTGCTCAAACTTAGCATGATATTTTGAAATCAGTTCATGTCCCACAATGTTGTAGAAGCATACTTCAAGTATTCATCAACCTCAATACGCTTTTCTCTCACAACAAACTGTGTATGGCAAAAACCAAGATTGCTCCTCACTTCCATGTGAATGTAGTGATTGCTATCATAAGTTCTATTTTCTCCAAGATCTCCAATAAAGTTCATTGTAACCAATGTATTGAACTCTAGAACCAGGTATGCAATAGATTGTCAATTGGAAGTAGAAACTACAGCTGAATGTAGCCGAGGCACCACAAGGTGCTATAATTCAAGCAACTTGAAACAAGCTCTCATCGGCAGCATTCATCCAATCTACAGCCTTTCATGATCATCCAAGTACAGTAGTCTCCCGGTTAAGAACGCACTTTGAACCCGGGAGTGCAGTGCGTACTTAATAAAATTGACTTCCTAATCGTTTGATTTGAGTGTAATGTCAAAGGAACCTTATATGAACACTACTAAATGACTCGACGCTACTTGAGATAATAGAGAACCTGAGTAAAATCATGATTGTATTGGAAGAGCTCGAACTTGCAAGTGACTTGATCATGAAGATGAGACAAACGGAACAAATCACAAAGCTAAATTGAGTTAATGTATGATGAAGTTAAAGAGAAGACTTTGTAATCTCACTCTTCTAACATCTATTGACACCGCCAAATAAAAAAATATTGCATTGAGTTTATTGATTTCAAATATGGACTCCAGCTCATATTTGTAATTGCTAAGTCGTATTCAATTGCCAAGTGAGTTGTAAAAGATCTTGCTTCTAGCAGAGTGATTTGAAATTTTATCATGGACTCTAGCAATGTTAACTATTATAGCCCAATATAATCTAAAACCTCAAAAAAATGTTATAATCTTTTCTTCATTTTGCGATAGTGGCTTGCTTTTTTCTCTACTATGAGAGTTTGTCTCCAATGTTAAACAAGTATATATATCAACTACTAGAGGTTCACGCTTCTAAACAGATATGAGACAATCACTAGAAGGAGTAACAATTTTTGACTGTAAACCAAATGATCCACATGTCATGGGTTAAACCCTATTTTTGTGCCAAAAAAAATGCGAACTTAACCGGGTAAACGTATCTAAACGGGTGCGTACCGGGAGACTACTGTACTTTCTCAATTAGAAAATAATAATATTTTTAAAGATTTTAAAATTCAATCAAAGGGTAAAATTGTATCAATTAAATACCTTAGATGAGTAGACTCCGCTAGCCATTTATTCAAGATATGAAAAATCAGTGAAATTGAAAATGAGTTGCTGATCTTGACCCAAAATAATAATCTGAAAATATGGACATGCCCTTCATCCCTATCCATACTTATCTAAAATGATTAATGGGAGATGCAACACCTAACGTTATCCAAAGCCTAGAAGTGGCAATTATTCCAAGCTCGAAGTGTTCCCATATGGCATGACAGGTGTTATGAAGTACGTGGGGATATTCGACATACGACACACTTGTAACGACGACAATGAGGCAGAGAAGTTGTCCACGTCGATCCACGCGACGCGAGCACATTGGACACAGGGTCAGGCTTAGGAAAACATTTAGTATCTTCGCAGATCATGCGAATCAGAGGCTCGTACCGTTTGCTGCGTCACGATGGCAGGTGTTTACATGGGGCAAGCTGCGCAAGTGCGCTTCTCCTGTTCCGCGTTCGCAACTGTGTCTTCGCGTAATCGAGCTCACCAGTTTGCTGATACATTCGTCATACACACTTCTCATCTTTGTGGAAGATCAGGAGACAGGAATCCGAACTCGTACACCGAATCGCTTCGAATCAGAAGGACGCAAAGAGTGGATTTCAGCCGCTGGAGTTACAAGGTTCTTGTCACTTCATGTCGGTTTCCTATTTCCCTCTGAATATGAGCTGAATCTCGTTCGTGTGTTCGAGTCGACCAGCGTTGTTGCTCTTTTATTTTCGGGTATCAGATAGTGTTGCGCGCTTAGACAGAACTGAATTGTGTCTCTCCTCACCTCGAAATGCAGCCCGATCCTATCTGTGTGACTTGAACTTCGCTGCCTGCCTTTTAGCTTAGCTGCAGTCGAAGAGTATGCTCGTTTCTGTCAGTTTCGCGCTTTGAGTAATTCCGTCCCACCTCTTCGGTGATTTGGATGACGTCACTGACAGTTACTTGTATTGCGGAATCTAATCGGTGGCGTTTGGATTTTCAGGGTGAAGCTTGGGATCGATTCTCTTTATCAAAGCATTCGCGTGGACTGAGAGCATCTACGACAGTGATGGCAGCAGTTACCAGAGAGCCAGTCGGACCTGGTCAGGAGTCCGTTTGGGACTACCCGAGGCCACCCGCACTGGAGAAAGTTGCTGAAAAGATCAAAATTCTCTTCAACGGAGAGAAAATTGCAGAAACTACCAACGCCTATCGAGTTCTCGAAACAAGCCACCCGCCAGGTGAGAGACTCTGAAAGAATTCTCGCTTATTTGACTTCTCCTCGCAGATCTTGCACGATCTTCTGAAGACTTGAGTATGATCATTCCGCAGCTCTTAGAGTTCTAGGCTGACATGTGCTGCGAATATGAGTGGAAACCATCATCACTATATGTATTTGTCGACGGAATTAGGATGAGGTTTCAAAGGCAGCAGGTTTCAGTACTATGGAGCTCGAGCTCCTAGTGTCGTTTCGTTGTACTGTCACGCCAGTGTGCTGCTAGAAGATGTTCATGCACGTGGAATATTTCGCCGGTAGTGGGTGGGTGAGGGACTTCTGAAGTATGGGCGAGAGTGTTGTAGATCTCAAGAGCTTACTGCAGAAACCCTTCGGCAATGTGTCCGAAAGACTGAATATTGCTTGGAAATTCAGCGCGAACTTGTAGCCAGGCACCAAGTTCGTCAACGCTCTGCATTATGGCCCAGCGACCATAGCTCAATCCTCGAGTCTCAGCGTATGCTACGTAGGCAGGGGTTGGGGCCAGGAGGAACTGTCAGAACTCTCGACATTATCAGTCGTCATTGGTGCACTCGTAGGCATTTATTTCCTAGGGGCTGCGTGTGGCATCTCGTTGCCCTACCACGACGGACTGTTCCTTTTCAGGTGTCGCCTGGAAAAGGCGACACGCGGCTCTGTGCTTTCAAACCACCATACCGTTGGTGATGTCAGCCGGGGGTCCACAAGAGACCTTAAGCCAGACTGCCTTAAGCCTCTCTCGTCTGAGTAGAAACGACTCTGTGACTCTTGTGAGTAATGATCCCATCTTATGGCCCCAGCACAGAGCTCTAATTTCGACGACCGGCGTTTTCGGTAATAAATGTCGCTAAGTGCTTAACTCTGCAATAGAATCTAGAATCCTTGATTCTACAGCAATGCGTCTACGACTTTGCTCAAGGAGCAATATCAATTTAGGAAAAGGCCAATTTAGGAAAAGGCCAATGTCGCGATGGATGGCCGATCGCTTGTACGAAATGATCTTTCGTAACATACCCAGTCCTTGAAGACAATCCAAAGGAAAGTCTCTGATCTGCGGTCGAAATTTCTGGTCGAAATCCGAAATTACTTACTGCTGTCCCCATTCAAGAATTTCTGTCAGTTGAAATCAAGATCTATGAAGTGCCGTCCCCTTCTCATGTGACTCAGGAGAGTGATTATAGACTTGCAAAAATATCTTAGACTCAGCCTGCTGTTTTAGTACCACTGCACCCGGAGTCTCATTCTAGATGTAATGCTGTCAGTAGCAGGACTGCCATGAACGCTAAGTCTGGGAAAGGCCCCCAAGCATGTATGCCATGTATTGTTCTGGTTATCGAGAGTGTAGTCATTCAAGCTATCATGATATCCCCCCGATTGAATTGTGCACCGAATAGAACCCGGACACTATGATTCTGTAGTCTTAACATGGAAATACTTCAAGGTCATTCCAATGATCTTATTGGTTAAGATTCTTTCCTCACTTACTTGTCTATAGCCCAATTGTCTTTCTGTATCAAACATTTTCGTGGTTGTCGCAAGTCTCAGCTTTCAATCCTTGATGTTGATTTGTGCTGCTTTGACGTCGACTTAAACTGCCTCCTGCCTATTTTTCGGATAAGATGTAATTCTCTGACAAGAGTTTTCATCTTGTGTACAGTATACTACATACCCGCTACAGATGTTACAATGGAACACTTGAGTAAAGCAGCTGGAAGTTCGCACTGTGAATGGAAAGGGGATGCCACATGGTGGACTTTGACGGTCGGTGCTAAGACTGCAGAGAATGTTGCGTGGAGCTATGAAACTCCAACGGAAGCCTTCCTTCCTGTGAAAGGTTACCTGGCATTTTATGCCGGCCCGATGGACGCATGTTACGTTGGAGAAGAGCAGGCTCAGCCCCAACCCGGAAATTTTTATGGTGGGTGGGTCACATCGAAAATCGTCGGACCATTTAAGGGGGGTCCCGGTTCTTGGGGATGGTAGAATCTGATTCCTTTCCTGTCCCTGTGTACAAAAACCACGTGCATTGTACTGACAATGCATGTTCTTACCAGCAGTTCCATTTTGAGTGATGGCTCTAAACCTCTCAGTACACCTCAAGACTTACTAATTTTGTACGTTCAAAAGTCAGAGGAGTGCTGTGTGTTTTCTCCACGCAGACTGTGAAATTGAAGAGTGGACGTAGAGAGTATGAGTTAGTCACTTTATCATCGTACATTTGTTTAGTGAAAAATAGTCCAAGGAGGCTGAGCTTGCGGATGAGGCTACATGTCGGAAAGATGTTAGTGTTTCCGCCTCTACTTCACAACTTTTCCACCAAATTTTGGTTGTATGTACGATGACGCAATGTAAATGCCGTTACAAATTCGAAAAGGTGGAACATTTAAACCTTCTCAGCTAGTTGTAATTGGAGATGTGATTGTGTTACAGATTCGCTTCAAGCAAAATTGTGACATGTATCTTAACAGGGGAATGTGAAGCTCATCTCTGTAGGTAACTGATGAAGGAATGATCCTTCCCATTGAATCCTTTTCTCATTATTCAGACCTCCTAAGAGCTGCAAGGAAGTATGAACATTTAGTGATTATTAGTTTGTAGCTGAATTGAGAATTCTGAACTGTGAATGCCAGAGAAGTTCCTGTTGAATCGTCAAAGCTATGAATTCCTCAAGATCCTGACATAATGTTCATGTTCATGACACCTCTTTTACCCGAAGAAACGAAGTATGCAATGATTAGAAAAAAGTCAAATTTTCAACTTCCTAATAAGGAATTAAGTAGCCTGCTCAGCAATTGGAGTATTTGTCAGAGCTAATACATTGTCACTCATTCATTGATATTTAAAGCTGTGATGAATTTCGAGTATGGACCATATATCTTGCCCCACCAGTCCCATAAAAATGGAGTATGATCGAACGTAATGTCAAAACATTGCCAGTCGTTCAGCTCTTTCAAAGCTTTGCATCGTGCAGACTTGTGTGTGATTACGTATCAAACATACGACATGTCATATGTTTATTTTCTGAACAAATTTGCATACTCAAAATATGTAAGTGCCTAGAATTGTCATATATCTTTATTGAGTATGGTCGTGCATCGAATGTTTGAAGTATCAATGTTCCCAAAATATATCGTATGCATTCCAGTTCGCGTGTACAGCGTTAGAAACTTAGAAGTCATCAAGTACGATTGACAGTTGTCAGTACACGCTGATAACCATAAGGCGAATTGACCTCATCACAGTCAATGAGTCACTGTAGAAGCTAATAAGAATATATTCTTCAGTAAAATTCAAATAATAGGTCAGGCCTTTAGTAAATCTGGTCGGCACATTTTCCACGTTTAAAGATGTATAAGTTTAAATGGAAAATTTCAAGAGCGGTATATCCCAGGGAAGATAAGTTACAAAACACATTACATCTGCTAAATTGTCCAAATTTAATCTTTTTAAAATAAAGAGATAACTTGAATACAGAAATCATTGCGGGGATTGAATCTATTCCGTCCCTTTCCATGTTTTAAAAGCCTCAATTCAAACAGAAACTGTTAGAACCTTAATTGATATATGTGGGAGAATCTTCGCATTGCGCGCGAATCTATATCATTTTCACTGTAACAAAATTCAAATTCGTTGCGTGCCTTTAGACATCGGTACAAAAATATATTTGAACTACTTAAAAAAGATGCATACAGCACATAAACCTTGTGAGTTACCCGCTTCTCCTGAAAGGTAGGAACAAAATCTAGGTGTAAGAAGCATCCTTTCTACATTTACAAAGCATACTCATACTCTGTCCAGCTGTAGATAATTGCTTCCAAAGATTTTTCTTCTTTTAATCACTAAAATGGAGATTCAGAGGCCTTTTCTTTAAAGTGTAAAGATATGTGTTCTAACACATGCACTGAACTTGTTGACAAATTCACTTTGAAGTCGACCAAAGTTTCATAGAGGCAAGTAAACGAGAATTGCGTGATGCTTTTCTGTTGTTGAAAATCAATTTGGGAAGCATGACACACAAAAGCATGTAGAAAATTGATTCCCAACTTGCTACATGCTTCCCAAACTGATTCAATTTACGTTGAAACTTAAGCTTTATAGTTATCAATATAAAAAAAAAGCATGTAGAATATTGAATCCAAACATGTTCTTCTTTTGAACTGATAACTATAAAGCTTAAGTTTCAACTTACACCACAATATTATGGTGCCATGGATCTTGCCCATCATAAATTGTATGGACAATATCCAAACCATAACCAACTCCAATCTTGACTGACAAAAATAAAACTTAACAACAAAAATGTTTGTTTCTTAAACTTAAAAGAGGAGATCGAAAATCTAGTATTTAATTTATCAAATCAAGAAAATTTATCGGAAATCAAGTTATTTTCTACTACTTTTTGAATAACATGAAAGACTTGGTTTGATCATTTACACAATGTAATTTATGTACATGACCAACAACATTAATTCAAGCTGGATATGAGTAGTTAGTCACATCCCCAATGTTGTCAAATTCTGAAATCTTAATAGCTAATTTTTATGAGAATAAAGTAAAACTTCATTCAATTTTGCCAGAATATTGCAAGACGTAGAATTTTCAAATCAGTTAGAAAAATGACTTTTTACAGATGAATAAAAACGATACATTTTCTTTAAAATTAAGTTATTGTGTGTTTATATATGTTTATATATATAAAATTTATGTCAATATATATTCAATCGATTTATTTGATGAAATTTTTCTGTTTTAGATGACATATTTTATGTTGGATTCTTACTTTATTTACTGTTTTTGCATCACATATATTGATATTTTATTTTAAATTTATTGCTTATTGGAAATAATAACATTGAATTTGTAGACTTGAAAAATGGATGAATTTTTGTGATTATGATAGATTTTATTTTTATTTATGAAATCTTACAATTTTTCTACATGGCTCAGATTGTGATTTTGATTAAAATAATAAATATATAAAAATATTCTTCTAATATGATATTATAAATGTTTCATTAATTATTTCATGTGTATTTTTTTAAAATTCATGAAAGTATCGCTAGACATAATACTGAAATCACTCTTTGCAAAGTGTAATATCCAAACTACTCATTACCAGGCCTCTGCTAACTTGGCATTTGCCAAATTTGTCATAACTTAGTCATAATGGCATCAGCCAATTTCTATTTATGACAAATATGACACTAATTTTAATTTGCTTGAATTGCTTATAATGTATGCTTACTAGAGTGACAATATAATTATGGAAGATATATACTCATCTTTCTCTTAGGTAATCATGGAGAAATCACCCTCCACACACATAGTTTCAGGATACACGGTTTGGAAAATCTAAGTTCAAAAGTAATCCATGTTTCATCAAATTCCACGGATTCTGGCATTTGATCCACTGTTTTGCAGAGTATATCTTCTCTTTCTCATTCTATCAATGAATACATTCTCAATTTTGGGATCAAATAAAAGGCAGTAGAATTGTGTCAACTATGTTTACGTTATTATCCAAACACAATGGATCATAGGACGCAACAAAATGAGTAGGATAGTATTCAAAGAAAGTTTGTTTGACGTGTAATTACAGAGCATGATATTCACTCCATATTTGCTTTAAAGTGTTGACTTTCAAGATGTTTTGATTCCAGCTCTAGTCAATGTGGAACCTTAAAGTATTTTGTGATTATAGCCGGACCTTCGCTTCATGTCGATTATTTTTTTTCACCGCTCATACTTGGCAAAAAGCTACAAAAACCCGATGTAACGACACCATACGTGAAGATCATCAGCCCATAGTCAAGTATGTGAGAGAGAGAGATCACATGGCGTTCTACATTTCTTCGAAGACATTTCATCAACGTCAACAGCGAAGAAGAGAGAACAAAAACGTTTTAATAGTGAACAAGAACGAAAGGAGACTTGTACTTCCATTCTTATTTATGGCATCAGGCCAAAATTATTTATGACAAATATGGCATAGCACCCCCAAATGCCATATTTGAAGAGGCCTGCTCATTACGGTTCATAAAAAATTCATGTTGTCAATTTTGATGTTTTCTTTTGGAATGTGTTTTCCATTATTATTTGAAAAAGTTATGGATATTTATGTAAATCTGATGTTCACATAAAAACTGTTGCCATTAAGTTGTGCATAGCGCAATTAACATTTCAAAAAAAATCATCATGAACAAAAACTTATAATTGATGTTGATGTATAATAATTTAACAAATTTAATGATTCAGAAATTTACATGAATATTTTTTAAAATTTTACTTATTATTTATTTATTTATTTAAATAATTATTAAGAAGTCTAAATTATTAATTAATAAATTTAAATTTTAAAAAAAATTAGACTTTGAATTAATTTAATTTGAAAGAAATTTTTTTTCATATCAAAACTCTTTTACCTTAAAATTTGCTGTTACAAAGAAGGAATTTTATAATTTTCATAAAAATATAAATTTCTTTTCAATCTTTTTTTGGAAAGTACTATAAAAATATCCCAGTTAATTTTTTTTTCATGCAAAATCGAAATAAGAAAAAGAAGTAAATCGCAAATAATTTACAATTGGGTCAAATAAATCATATAAGCAATGTTGAATCAAAGAAAATAGCGACAAGCTTAAACTTTAGATGGTAAAATGCTCAGAACTGATTAAAACTAAAATTTCAGCTTTGGGTGTTGGATTTTGAGTGATATAATAATGTAAAAAAAAGAACTAGTTTAAATCTTGACGAGATGCAAGTGTGCAGTGTACTAATATTGTTCAAAATACATGTGAAGATTGTCTTTGTTACCAAACTTGATTTTTTTAAATGATCAAAAACAAATATTTTCAAACTTGTCGTTGAGAATGAAGAGGCTGGAAGGGAATTGTGTAAGATTATGTGCTTCTTGTAGCTAGTGATTGAGCAAAAAAGTTGATAAGATTTGAACTATATGTCGTCTATATTGAAATTGTAATAATATGCGTTGATAGTTGGATATTGCGCTTTGTTTTTCTGAAAGAGATTGAACTGTGGAAGTACTAATTTGTTTAAAGCCTTCAAAAAACATAATTTAGTTTAGAACCAGTTTATTGTATTAAAATAAAATATTTTTCCTTTCTATATAGTATGTAATTCTCTTTGAAATAATATAGCAAAGCATCTCAATTAAATATTATTGAAACAAAAGATAAGTATGTTGAAAAAGTTAAGTTTATCAAAAGAGATAAAAACCTTAAGCAAGAATCGCTAAACATATATTTTGACATGATTAATTACATAGCGCTGTTTGAATGAAGATGGAGTGAAAAAAACAAAATCTGTATTTAAAGTAAACTTGTTGTGATAAGCAAAATCAAATTTGAACTTGATATTA